AGGGGGGGTGGGGGGGCGGGGGGCACCCAAACTTTTCTTTCCATTGCCACCTTGATTATTCATCCATCAATGAGTTTTTAAAGGCAAATTTTATTCAGTTACTTTGGGACAAGACTGTGAGTCAGAGGTTGGCACCAAAACCGGAATAGAAGCCACAGTCCTCCCTGGGGACTCTACTCTGGCTTCAAACTCCCAGATCACACAACTTTCTAATTGGAAAGAAATGTCCTTAAACAAGAGTGGGGGATTTCGCAGGAGTTCATCCATCAATGAGTTTTTAAAGGCAAATTTTATTCAGTTACTTTGGGACAAGACTGTGAGTCAGAGGTTGGCACCAAAACCGGAATAGAAGCCACAGTCCTCCCTGGGGACTCTACTCTGGCTTCAAACTCCCAGATCACACAACTTTCTAATTGGAAAGAAATGTCCTTAAACAAGAGTGGGGGATTTCGCAGGAGCCTGACAGTGACTAATAGGCCAGGTCTTTAGACTGCTTGATGAAAGAGAAGCTGGATTCTCACCTCAAGGTAAATTTTTAAAAATATTTTCACCCTGGAGTTTACAGCTGAATATAAACAAAATACCTCTCCTTGGGCAATCCCATCCCAATCCCTGCAGAAGTTAACTAAATTAACTCTGAAATGACATTCAGTCCAAGTCTTCCTTCCAGATGCTTTTGTTTTTTGCAAGATTTTATTGACAAGGTGACTCTCACAAGGTTCTGTGTAAACTGGCAGTTTCTCACCCCCAGCCTACAGACCAATGGGGGGTCAGTTTTATATCTTCTCTAAATAGCAGGTATTGGGTAGACCCTATATTCTATTCACCTAACTGTGGATCAAATGGCTCACACGTTTCTCTGGAAAAAAAAAAAATAGTGTGCTCGCACGGTATCTGGGTAAATACAATGTGGTCATTTAAATCTCATTTGCTGACATTCACTCTGCTCAAGGCAATTCCTGAATTAGGGGAAAGGGATTTTTGTTGTTTTATTAACCCCTAATCAGGGCATCGCCTCCGTAAAAAAAGAGGCTCTCGTCTTAAATGGTCTAAGTCCGAAGTGGCTGCCCCTCTCCAAGGAACAGGAGCGCAGGCGCGGGCACGCACACGTGGACACACACACGCGCCTGCTCACACCCCTTGCGTGTGACTCCCCTGCAGGATTTAGGGGTTTCTCCAGGGCGGATTATTGTCAGGTTCAGAAAGCAGCTCTTTGTTCGGTGGGCACTTTCCTTCCCCCTGATTTGACTGTAATTTACCACCACGTGAACACTGGGGACAGACAGGGAGGGCGGGGAAGCTCTCCGAGAGCAGCGGGAGACAAAGGCTAACCCAGCGTGGCCAGGGCTGCTCGGGGACATTTTCCCCGATCGGGCGACTTGCTAGAAATCCGCCCAGAGCTGACTCCTACAGGAGCTCTTTGGAGAGCCTTTGTAAAGCAGTCGGTCTTTCCTAGAGGCTGGAGCCTGGAAGAGGCTGGATCTGGATTTGTAAACTGCCGAGAGCCGCCCGGGAGAGAGCAATTCAGGCCAGGTAGTCGGGGCTCCCGGAACGCGTTAGACAGGGCACACTCCTGGTGGGCTAGGGAGAGGCACAGTCGCCTTCGCAGAATGAAAACCAGCCCCCTTAAAAAAAAATCACCAAATTAATCCTTTTGTAATGCTTTATGTTTTAAAAACGGGGAAAAAAATCCATGATGAACAAAATTTAAAGACATCGTCACTGCTATGTCATTTTGGAACCCCACGGACGATCGGTGCCCCTCAAAGTTTACTGGACCCAGACTGGGGTGTCGGGAACCTTCAGCGTGCACTGGGAAAATAACTCAGGTCGAAGGCCTTGGAAATGGAGGGCCTGTCAAACCTCAATTAGGGAGTAGAAGCTAGACCGGGGGTCTGGAGGTGAGCTCCTGAGAGGCTCAGCTGGGAACAAAGGCACAGAGGGGAAGCATAGTGGAGAGGACCTAGCTGGGAGGGAGGAATCCGGTGGGTTCCGAAGCCCTCTCTGCCTTGTTCAGGCTCCACCCGCAGCCTCAAATGGAATATTCGACCTCGCCGCCACCGAGGCCGCGAGCGAACCCTGCAATTCCCTCTATTAGTGATTAATTTTCCCTAACAAGCCTCGGCAAAATGTCGGGAGAATAATTTTTGGCTTCTGTAAGGTCTCCACCTCGAGTGCTTAAAGCAGCCCCTGGGAAATTAAATGCCTAAGTAAAACCCGGGTGCAAATGCTACATGACCTGGAAACAGGGATGCGGAGACTTGAATCGGCCCTCGAGCTTACTAAATCCGTTCAAAAGGTCATCTTTGCGCATGCATTTTTCAGGATCTAGCTGCGCACCAAACGTGGACCCTAACAGTCATTTCCTGAGAAGACAATTCACACATGAGCAAGATGCGGCGAGGACTTTCCCCAAAGCGGAAAACGTCGGGCTTTTCTCCCCGCACAACGGTTAAATAAACATCTTTTAGGAAGCGTGGACCCGAGTGCAGCCCAGTTCTTCAGCATAGGAACACTATTCTAGCAATCAACGCTTCCCTCCAGGTCATAAAGAAACAAGTCCCACACCTCTCTCTTATGTCTGGCCTTCGGCTGTAGGGCCTTCCCTTTCATCTTCCAACTCGGGGTTTGCCCACGTTCCACGGGACGCTATAAAGCTGATTTAATGGCTCAGGATGAAAATCGACCACGCTAATGCATAAGCTAACGTCTGGGGAATAGCACTCAAAACAAAACAAAACACCCATAAAAAGCTACAGGCCGGGCCCAAAGCGCACGTCCGGGAGAGGAGGTCCCAGGCCCTTCGGGGTGGCAGCGTCTCCCTTCCACTCAGGTGCATCTGGGAGACCTGCGAGGCTGCTCAGGGTTGGGAGCCGCTGAGGCAGAAACCTGGAACCCGAGCCGTAGCCTAGACTAAGCCGCCCTTGCCGCCGCTCGGCGGGATGGAAAGGCCACCCGGAGTCCCGCAGGAGGCGTGTGGCGGAGGCCCAGGGCCGCGAGAGGCGCAGCTCCATTCACAAAGTCCAGGCGCGGCCGCTTGAGGGAGGGTCGGAGGCCGCCTCCCTCTTCCTCTAGGTCCGGGTTTTATGAATGGGCCAGGCAGCCAGCACCGAGCGCCCTGTTTACTCCTCTCTTTGTGACGTCGAGTTCCCGTGACTGGGTGCGAGGGGCGGGCATTCCATTCACGCGCCGCGGAGGGGGCGGGACGGGAGGCGGAGCCTCGGGAGGTTGTAATGAATCTCCCTCCCCCGGGAGAGCCGGGGAGGCTTAATAAATCTTTAAGCCGAGGAGGAAACTCTGGCTGGGGCAGTGCGCGCGGCTCCAGCTCCGGCAGGGCGTGGGGAACTGCGGGGTCCGTGCGGGTGGCAGCCGGAGCAGCCTGGCCAGCAAAGCACACTAGACGCACACGAAGGGAGCCGGTGGTCGTCTCCCGCAACACACTCCCCTCCACCGCCACCTCCGTGGGGCCGAACGCCCGCTGGCTTAGCCGCCCGAAGCAGCTCGGAGGGCTATGTAACCGCGAGGCTGCGGGAGGAAGGGGTCTGGGAAGAAGAGGCCTGCCCGCGGAAGCCGCCGAAGCCAAGTTTGCGGCCACTTCTGCAGGCTTCCAACTCCTTGTAGCCTAGCAGGTCCAGGTGTCCTTGGCCTTCTCGCGCTCCCAGTTGCTGCGGTTCCCGACGACATGGTGACGATGGAAGAACTGCGGGAGATGGACTGCAGCGTGCTCAAAAGGCTGATGAACCGGGATGAGAACGGCGGCGGCGCGGGCGGCAGCGGCAGCCACGGCGCCCTGGGGCTGCTGAGCGGCGGCAAATGCCTGCTGCTGGACTGCAGACCGTTCCTGGCGCACAGCGCGGGCTACATCCGAGGCTCGGTCAACGTGCGCTGCAATACCATCGTGCGGCGGAGAGCCAAGGGCTCCGTGAGCCTGGAGCAGATTCTGCCCGCCGAGGAGGAGGTGCGCGCCCGCCTGCGCTCCGGCCTCTACTCCGCAGTCATCGTCTATGATGAGCGCAGCCCTCGTGCCGAGAGCCTCCGGGAGGACAGCACGGTGTCGCTGGTAGTGCAGGCGCTACGCCGGAACGCGGAGCGCACGGACATCTGCTTGCTCAAAGGTAAACGCGGGCTGGGACGCGAGCTGGAGGGTAGTTGGTGGCCTGCGCCTTACAGGGTTTGGGATTCGGACCGGAGTGACTTGAGGCTACCCTGTGCGCTTCTTTGTGCGTGTTGCTGTGCGTGGCTTTGCCATGTTTTGGTGGCCAAAGCCCTAGGGGACTGTGCTGGTGCGTTTCCTTAGTCACCTGCAGTCCGCACGCGTCCTGGAGTCGCTGTGTTTATTGGCAGGCGCTAACGGTTCTCGCCTGGAAGGAGGAAGCTGTTCCTCTGAGTTGCCCATCTTCAGTACCCGGAAAGCGCTCTCAAGTAGTACAGTGAAAGTGGGAACCACAAAGGGTCTGTTGGTTCGGCCTGACCCGGAGACCCGAGAGAGGGCGAAAGGGTGAAAGAGGGTAAAAGCCGAAGAGGATCCGCCTCTCGAGTTGGACCAGAGTCCAGCCTTTGGTAATGCAGAAAGGAGAATTGGGCTGCAGACCTGGGGAGCGATCAATGTCTAGTCTCCTAGTGCTCAACTCCGAGCTTTCCTGGAAGACCTCTAACTTCCCCAGCCCTGGGCTAGACCCAGGCTCCGGGAGCTGGAGGCAGCAGTGCTCCCTCGGGGGACACCAGGGAGCACTGTGCCTCTGCCCCCTGCTAACCCCGGCAGCGCCAAATTACCACCTTTTGTTCACACACCATTCTCGACCATCTGATGGCGGCGCGTGCCTGGCCGCAGTGAACCCTGTCCAGAAAACGGCGGCCGGAAGCCGGAGGGAGGGCGACTTGTCAAATTTAGAAGTCAGAAACCCTGAAATGATCGCGAGCTGTCCCAAGTCACTGGAGAGAAGGGCCCTATGGCCGGCCGCACCTGCAGGGCGGGAGTGCGGGCCTCGGGCTAGGGAGCCGGCTAGGCTCGAGGGATCCCCGCGCCCCTCGCCGCGCCGCGCTCCTACCTCCGGCCGCCGCATTCCGCGCATTCTTTGGCCCCTGTCGGGTCCTAGTTTCCGAACCCGGGGCGTTTCGGACCCTCCCCCCTTTCCCTGAAGGCGCCCTTCGCCACCTCCTATCCATTCCTCCGGGGACCTGTTCCACGCAAGTAAGGGAGACCGAGGAGCGGAAGCCTCCTTCCCGCCCCCTCCAAAAGGCACAACGAAGCGGCTCAGAGCGGGCCAGCCGGGCTGGCTACGGAACAGCGGGGGGCTTTGTTCTCCGCAGTTGTTTCCTGACCATTTGACCGGTCAGCTGCTGGGGAAATGCTGCTGTTGACCTGCGGTTGAACTGCTAGGACGATTTTGCTGAGTTTTCCTTCTTTTTTTTCTGCGAGGGCGGTCTTTTGCACCTCCACTCTCTCCCTCTTCCTAAAGCGCTTCAGGAGCAAGTGCCGGGAAGGGACTTGTCGCTGATGGCGCGACCGCTCAGAGGGGACGATCCGGCCCCGCGAGGTAGCCAGTGCCCCGTGTCAGGCGCACATCCCGCGCCCTCGCGTGGCGGGGTCCTGCTGGGGCACAGGCTGCGCGTTTGCTCTATTGTTCCCTCTTGCCTGCTCTCCCTGCCTCGGGCTGGCACGGGTTAGAAAGGTGAAACTGTTTAGGGATGGAAGTCCCTCCCGGAGCCCCGGCTGTTGCCCTCGAGTTCGGATTTAGAGAGGCCGGGAGCGCGCCTTCCCTCCCTGGCCTCTGAAAGTCTTAGGGCTGGGCTGCTTCCAGCCCCACGAGGAGTCAGGGTTTGTTTTGTTTTTCTTCCTGGAAGAAATCCGGAGGGGACCGCCCTGGAGTAGCAGCTGCGGCCCTTGGCCTTGGCCTTGGGCTTCCTTCCGGGGCGCAGACTCCAAGGCTCCGCTGGAGGGGTGGGGGTGGGGGGAGGAGGCTTATTTTTACGGTTAAGCCTCTTTTCCCGCGGCACCCTACCGGCACTGAATCCGGTCCCCTGACCTCTGAGTTCCGAGAGATGCTGCAAGGCAAATACTGAGTTAGGACAGGTGGCCCCTGAGCAAAACGGTAGTATCCTGGTGGGTGACCAGGCACTTGGCCTACAGAAAGGCAGCAGTGGACTCTCTACCTCCTTCCCTTGTGGGTTGCCTTTATTGGGCAGGGAGGGCCACTCCTTGCCCCTCAAAGGCCACATCCCCTGAGGCGGAGTGGGTCTAGGCCTGGCTACAGGCCTGGACTACTTCGTTTTTATCTGTTCAGGAACAGTTGCCACCCCTCCTGCAGGTGTGGACCCCACCCCCAGCCAGAAGTTCGGCAGGTCTTGGAAGCAAGATCCGAAAATTGAGAGGGAAATCCTTCGGTTTGTCTTGTAGCTAGCGGAGCTTAACCGCTTAATCGACCATGTTCTGTTTGGCTTAGCTTATGTGGATGTCCGTGCCGAGTCAAGGCCAGCCTCCAGCCTTGTGCTTCATCCGCTCTGCCAGTTAATGAAAGACCCCTCTAGAGGACAAAAAGGTGCCATCCCAGGGAGGAAGCAAGGAGCTCCCCTTCTCCAGACACTGAGATGCCAGCCAGTGAGACGTAGCTTGGAACCAGGGAAGTGTGGCACAGAGACCTAAAGGAAACTATCGGGAAACAAGGGAAACGAGAAGCTTCAGGGTAGGGTTATCCTCAGTAAATGGAAGGCTGGGTAACTTGGCTCCCACTGGGGTTGTTCATTTCCTTTTCCAGCTGGGAAACAGGGCCTTCCTGTGTTGGTAAGAGTTGAGGGGGCAGCCAGGGCAAGTGGGAGACCTGACAGTGGTTGTCTGCCATCTTTGGTATGGTGAGACAGAAAACTGTATCATTTTAGAAGTGATGTTGTTCTTCCTAGCCAAAGATAATGTTTTTTCTTGCATTAAAAGCCCAAGTTTTCCTATTTTTGTCACTTAAAGGGTGATTGGTGAACAATTATTAGTTGATTTCCACAGGCAAGACTATCAATAAAGTATTGTCAGTGTTGTACATTTGCTCCTATTGCTCCAGTACTGCTAAAAGTAATAACTGAAATCTTTATTTTTATATTTTATTATTTTTATTTTATGTATATGAGTGCATTGCCTGCATGTATGTGAGTGCACCCGTGTCGTGAAATGCCACGGAGGTCAGAAGAGGGCTTCGGATTCCCTTGGAACTGGAGTTAAGGACGGTTTGTAGCCGCCATGTTTCTCCAGCCCCTCTTTACTTATTTATTTTTTTGGTCTTTTTGAGACAGGGTCTCCCTATAGCCCCAGCTGTCCTGGAACTTACTATGTAGACCAGGCTGGCCTTGAACTCACAGAGATCCGCCTGCCTCTGCCTCTGGAGTGCTGGGATTAAAGGTGTGTACCACCACGCCTGGCATCCCTCTTTATTTTTTGAGACAGGGTCTCACTATGTAGCCTTGGCTGACTTGAAACTTCCTGTGTAAGCTGCCTGCCTCTGACTGCTTAGATCAAAGGTGTCACCACACCTGGCCCAATAACAGTATTTATTGTGAAATCTTAACAATATTTGCTAGTAAAGGCCATTGGAAATCCTTTAACTTAAAATCCTATAAGGCATTTTTAGGGACAGTTTTAAAAATTTTATCTCTGTCTACATCTTTCAGATTTCTTTAATCAGTTCTTGGAGTTTTAGAATGCCTTGGTTTTTTAAAACAAAAGAGAAATTTCTTGCCCTAATAGAAATCATTCTTTACCTCCAGTGTCTCCAAATTCAAAATTAATTTATTACACAAAAATATTTCAGTCTAGTGTAGTGGTGTATTCCTGTAATCTCAGTAGCCTGGAGGCTGAAGCAATTGGATTCTGAATTCTTGACCAGCCTGGGCCATAGTGCCAACCTTCAAGAAAAAATATCTGCTGTTTTCCCTCCTGCCTAGAATTTGCCTCATCATTCTCAGTTCCTATTCAAACTTGATTGCAAAACTATCCTGGGGCTGTTTTGAGCAATTAGAATGGTCATCTAGATATTCCAACCTTCTGGTAACATCTAGCTCACTTGGAACTCATCTGCCCTCTGGCCTTTCTAGGCCTGACCTGACACTAAATGAGGGAGGAACAGGGGGCCTCAACCAGCTCTGGCAGCTCTAGTGGAGAATGCTCATCTCTCTGTTCCCATTTCCAGCTCTCTTAGTGGTGTCCAGGGGCATTGCTCTAGGGCTCTCCTAGGTTCCCTACATTCTGTACCCAGAAGGAGAATAACTGGTTTTTCTGTTTGCAAGTACAACACAATGCCCCTGAGAAGTAAAGACTGGGTTTGTTAGAATTAGGCCTTAAACCGGAATTCCAGGCCTTCATGTCATTGGTTACACAATTACAAGGAATAAAGCAAGCACAACTCTGGCATCAAGTGAGCTGGATATTACCAGTCAACAAAAGTAACTAAAGATAGGGTGTAGGTGTCAATGGAGAGTGTCTACTTGACCCTTACATCCAGCAGAGCTTCTGGAGCATCTCCTTGATCTTGTAGGGAGGGGCAGGCTACACCCACAGAAATCTGGAAGGGAAAGGGTAGTCATTTTAAAGTGCCAAGAGATTCCTGGCTAGCACAGGAAGCATGACAAGTTACCCTCCAAGGGAAGCCACCCTGTTGAACATAGCAGGCCTGGAGGACAGGGAGGGATAGAGGGAAGAGCTAGCCTCCCTCCAGCAGAGCCTAGGGTCAGTCAGCTGGCTTGGGAAGAACTAGGCTCTCTGAATTGGGAATCCCAAGGTTAGAAGCCCACTCAGGTGAAGTCTGAAAGCAGTTCCGATAAAGTAAGGTTCCCAGAGTTACAGGACCCTCAGACAACTTAAACTTTCTTTCTGGGCCAGAACAAGGCCATGTGCTCAGGTGGTAATTCTGAGGATAGTCTGATGGGAGAACAGCGGCAGATCCACAGCCACAATCACCTTAACAGTCTTTCCCCTTAGGAGTCCTATTATGGTGGCATTACTAGTGCTAATCAACCTGCCCTTTGTAGCACACACATACACACACACACACACACACACACACACACACACACACACACACACACACATATATATCCTCAGGGCCTGGCAGCCACCTGCACTGGAGAATTTATGGCTTTGCCATATGAGTGTGAGAGAAGAGCACCTATGGAGCTGAACTGGAGGTGCAGTTATACCCCAAGCAAGCCCAGTGAAAATCATACCTTCCTTTCCCTTCCTGTTGAGACATAAGAACATAGAAAGCATATTCTTTGATTATATGTGTGTGTGTGTGTGCGCGCACACGCTGAAATAGGTCAGAATGACTAAGAAAGGTGTTATGAAATTATACCCAACAGGACATAGGGAAAAAAGCAACAACAACAAAAAAATAGGCCAGAATTCAGATAGTTCTGAAACTGTATTTGTAGTTGGCCACACTGGCCAGGTATATGTCATCACACCTGGCCTCTACGTTTTTAGACACATGCAGGATGCACAAGGGAAGCCTGCTTCTTTTATGTGTGATGGGACACATTTTGGATAAAAGCTGGTGACCTAAAACTGGCCCTCGACTTGCAAGGCTTGCGCACACTAGGATGAGGCTAGACAGCCTCAGGGGAAGAAGTCTTAATGCAACTTCTTCCACATACAGTAGGAAATACATTGAGCTGCATATGGTGGCTCATCCCTGTAGTCTCAGTACTTGAGGAAGGGAGAGGTAAGGCAGGAGGATTGAAGTTGGAGGCCAGCCTGGGCTACAGAGTGGGACCCTATTTCAACAAGACAAAATAAAACCCATCATGTTCTAAAAGAGGGTCACATGCCCCCAAACATTCCATGAAATGGTACACTTTGAAAATGCAACACATTCTCCTCAGTCTGTGGTTTCTTTTATGTGCTGGTCACATCTAATGACTGCACTAGAAAACCCTGGGCAGGGGCAGAATTTGAAGTGTCAGCTGTTACTCTACTCTCTTGGATCTATTCTGTTTGTGCATGAGAAATCTGATGTTCCACCTGGGGAAGCCAGCAGGCAGTATCCCCAAGGGGAAAAGTAGGGTAGCTGGGTAGCAAGAGCTCCTATTAATCAGGAAGATGCCTAAGGTTTGAGGCTGCCAGGCTGAATGCTGGTCCTGCCCTTACCTGGTTGAGGAACCCCAGGCAGTTTCCTTGGCTGTTCTGTGACTTGGCTTTAGATTCCGAGTGCATACTGCTTTCCACAGGGGCTGCTTGGCACACAGAAAACACCCTTTCTTCAGGGAGCCTGTAGCTTAGTAACATAGATCACATCGCATGGTGACGTTGGGCAGGACTTGGTTTCTTCCATCTTGTGGGTGACAACTTATTTGCACTTGATCTTCTACACAGCCCTGGTTTTGTCCTCCAAACAGACCCCACAGACCCTGAAAGTCAGCAGCAGTTAAGCCCGCCCATGCTGCTGCCGTCTGGGAGAGCCTGCCAAGGCTCTTGTCCTTTGGGCTAAGCTGCTGTTCCCTCAGTTGCTTTGGGCTTATTCTTTTAAATTCCCCAGATGGAACTGGCTTTTCAGTCATTGGCTTTCTGCTCTGCTCTTGTCTTTGTGTCTTTTCCAGGCACCATGAGTCCTGCTACTCAGCTGCCTGTTCACCCCTCCTCTCTCTACACACACACAGACACAGACACAGACACAGACACACACACACACGCAAGCACGCACAGGACACAGACACGGACAGACAGACACACAGTGGACACAGACAGAGACACAGACAGACAGACACATACACGACAAAGACACACACACACAGGACACAGAGAGACACAGACAGACAGACACATACACACACAGGACACAGAGACACAGACACACACAAACACACACATACAGGACACAGAGAGAGACACAGACACACACACACACATACACACACAGGTCAGGAGCTGGCTTTGGATCCCTTTGGGAGGTTTCTGCTGAGCCTGCCAAGTTGAGTGACCCCAAAAGGTGGCCAAGGCTCATGCCTGAAAGGGACTATGGAGTTCAGGAAGTGGGGGGGCTTGCTCTTCCTTTACCTACCAGGTCTCAAGACTACCTGGAACACATTCATCAGTAAAGCCTGGGAAAGAGGGCTGTCAGAAGCCTGGGACTTGGTTAGCACAACACAATTCCATTGTCTTTGGCATCTGAGGATCTCTGTTAAGGGTACCTCTCAGTGTAGGTGCCAAGAAGGGAAACCATGATGTATCTGCTCAGTGCCAGGCACTGAGCTGGGTGAATCAGTCTTTCAGGGACTCTGCGCCAGGGAAGATTAATCATCTCTTAACAAATAGGAGGCTCAGAGAGTTGGAGGATGAGGCAGGCTGTGCAGCTGATGACTCCCAAGGCTCAGGTTCTAGCTGCAGAGCTCCTGGAACTTCAGGCTGGCCAGGCTCTTCATCTTCTTTGTGGTAGGAAGGGTCAGAAGAGCATTTTCCCAGCTGTTGTGAGGCTGCCTGGGGGCTCCTGTTCTACGACCTTGGAATCTGGGTTGCATTGGGCATTCCTACCATTTGCTTTTAGGTGCAAGCAGCTTGTGCCTGCCTTCTGAATGGGAAGCTTTTGTCAGAGAACCACTGACAACCTCACTTTTTTTTTTTATTATTTTTATTTTATGTGTGTGTATTGCCTGCATGTAGGTTACAGACTATTGTTAGCTGCCATGTGGGTGCTGGGATTCGAACCCTGGTCTTCTGCAAGAACAATGTTCTTAACCGCTGAGCCATCTCTCCAGCCCCATCACTATTTTTTTTAATTTTTCTATTTTTATGTGTGTGTTTTCCCTGAATGTGTGCATAAGTATACCTAGGTGGTACAATGCCCATGGAGGCTAGAAGAGGGTGTTGGATCCCCTGGAACTGGAGTTGAGGGCAGGTGTTAGCTGTCACGTATGAGCTGGGAACCAAGTCCAGGTTCTCTGGAAGAGCAGCCAGTGAGTGCTTTTTCCACTGAGCCATCTCTTCAACCCTCCATAGCTCTTTAAAAAAAAATCTGCCTTTTGATTGCTTAAATGATGTAGTAGACACAAAGACCAGTTTTTAAAAATGGAATTCATACAGAAGTCTATAGAGTGACACATGGTCTATATTGATAGGAGTTCAGCCACAGTTCAAAGGGGTGGGGCACGGGCTGGTTTCTTGGCATAGAGGCCACTGGGGCCTTTGGCTATAGACCATCTCATCTGAGCATTTTACATACCTTGTGTGCAGTGTTACAGGAAAAGGCATTTTCTAATGGGAGGAAGGGGTGCTCTTTGGGCTTTAGCAACGGAGGCCACCAACACATCTTCAGTTGGCAGCACTGGCCAGGCCTGCAGGTTTCCACCCCAGGAGGCTGGTCACTCACTGTGACTCAGCAGGAAGAACTGTGACCACCTAGTAATCATTTTATATCCTAAGGGAGGGAGCAGAGGGCAAGAGAAACCTCTGGTCAAAGGGGAAAAAATGGGTGCCCTGTTTGTGTAAGCCTTAAGATGTGGCTGAGAGATTGCTTCTTTCTCTCAGAGGCAACAGGAAACTGTTTTCTAGGGCTGAGATGTAGGAGCAAGTGCTTGACTAACCATCACATGTCAGTTCATTAGTAGTTACTGTGAATAACTAGAGGGCACAGTACCTCTATCACAGCCACACACATGGAAGGAGCCAGCCACCTGCAGGACCATAGACAATTTGCCCAACCTGCCATTTGAGCCACTAGCAACAGTCTGTCCATGAAGGGTGGTCGTTTTTTTGGCAAATGTGCAGGCTTCACTGAGGTAATATAATTTTTGGCCCTGCAGCTAAGTCCAGAGGTCGCAGGAAAATCAGAGCTACAGTTTTTCCCTTCCTACTTCTGCCCCCAGGCCCTTACAGACCTGTCCCAGATAACTGGGCTCTTTATCTTTTGTTCCCAAAGCCTTACTTCCTCAGAAGATGATCCCTCTGATAGCCTGTGCAGGGCCTACCCACACTTAGGTCAGGAGAGCCACCTTTGCCCCCAACCTGTGTGGCAGGAGGGATTTGTGTGAAGCTTTTTTCTTCTGGTTAGAGACCATGTTGATGGACATGGTGAAGTTGGCATCTACTTCAGTACAGCACATGCCAGGATAATTTTTTTTTCTACCCACTTTCCTTCCCATATAGGAAGGAGAATTTCTCCAAAGCCCAAGGACTGGATCTAGGGTGGCAGGCAACCTCATCAGGCCAGGGCACATCTGGCAGCCTCCTGGAGCCCACGTGGCCCATGTTCCTCTGGAGGGCCCCTCTGGCATATCCCTATACCGTCTTCCTTTGTATGTCTTTATCCTAAAGTGAGACTGTCCATAAACCTTTCCTGAACTGTCTAGCATCATTCTTTTTCTTGATGCAGTCCTGTGGCCTAGCATGCTTCTCTGGAAAATTCTTGGCAGCCATTATCTCTAGACCCACAGCGCCACCTAGTGACATACACAGAACCAAACTGCACGCTTTAGCCGGATAGGGTTCTTTCTGGCTTCCTACTGGCTTAACATGAACTTCTTTCTCCTTTTCAGGTGGTTATGAAAGATTTTCTTCTGAGTACCCAGAATTCTGCTCTAAAACCAAGGCCCTGGCAGCCATCCCACCACCTGTGCCTCCCAGTGCCACTGAGTCCTTGGACCTGGGCTGCAGCTCCTGTGGGACCCCACTTCATGACCAGGTAGGTAGATTCCGGACACAGAGCTCTGGCTGGCAGTGCAGAGGAACACAAGAAACCTTCTTTTCAGAGTTCTGATTTTTTTTCAAGGATTCAAACACAGTTCCTCAATTTGAGAAGAGTGTGGTAAATCCCAAGTACCATGGTGTGGATGTTAACCAGAGCCCATTTATTCCTGGTGATTATTTCTCACCTCTCTTGTTATCCTACTTAAAAACTGCTAAGATATTACTTACCTAGTTTAGTCTCCAGTTTTTGTTGTTGTTTTGAGATAGGATCTCCTTATGTAAATCCAAGTTGGCCTGGAACTTGCTGTATAGCCCAGGCTTGCCTTGAACTTGTGATCCTACCTCACCCTCCCAAGTGCTAGGTTTATAGGCACGGACCCACCATGTCTGGCTTTTAGCGTCCAGAGAAATAAGTGGACAAGAGAAGAGGCTTGCTTGGACCTGCATGTAAGAAACTGAGAAAATACCCCTCAGGAAAGGCCAGGCTTTGGCATGAATCCCTGGTCTTCCCCACAGTCACACCAATCCCTCATTATTAACAGCAAGTTGAAATCACCAATGGACTCAGAGCTGGACTTAAAGGGCCAGCTGCCCTTTTCTGAGAAACTTGCACTTCCTTCAAGCCCATGCCCTCCTACCCTTTCAGTCAGATGGACAGGGAATGAAGTTAGAGACCAGCATTTCTGCCTGTGGATATAGTATTGCCGTGGTCTGTCATGCTTTCTTCTCTTCCCTGAGGCATCTCATCTCCAATGTCCTATCCAACCAAACAGCTCCCTAAATCAGACACACAGCTTAATGACACCTTAGGAGGTGTAAACTCCCAGTGTGGCCAACTGTGCTGGCTGGCTAGTGTGTGCTTACTGCATTATCTGTCATGGGAAGCTTGAGCCAGTGGTACCCACAAAACTTGACCTGACCTCTTCTGCCTACTAAGATCCCACTGAGCTCCCCTAGGAGCTCCAAGCCAGGAAAGAGGAACCAGAAAGACCATTCAGCAGACTTTACCCAGGGTTTAGAAAGTGTCCTTAGATGGCTCTCCTATCCTTGGCCCCAGTCCTTGAGCCCTCGTTCTGGCTGCTTTACACTCATGTTTGGGTGCCTTTGTGTTCCTGTCTGGTGCAGGGAGGTCCTGTGGAGATCCTTCCCTTCCTCTACCTCGGCAGTGCCTACCATGCTGGCCGCAGAGACATGCTCGATGCCCTGGGGATCACAGCCCTGCTGAATGTCTCCTCCGACTGCCCCAACCACTTTGAAGGACACTACCAGTACAAGTGCATCCCAGTAGAAGATAACCACAAGGCTGACATCAGCTCCTGGTTCATGGAAGCCATTGAGTACATTGGTAGGCTGCTTACCATTTTCCCAGGGTAATGAGAGGGAGCCCTGGGAACTGAGGTGGGAATGAGCAGGCACTGAGTGCAGGTGTGCCCCTTCTCTATTTTCTCATTGCTGTAACCAAATATTGAAAACAATTTAAGGGGGGAAGGCTTTACTTTGGCTTATAGTTTAGGAAGGGATAACTCCATCATGGTGGGGAGATGGCAGCAGGAGTGTGAAGCAGCTGATCACGTTGCATCTGCAGTTAGGAAGCAGAGAGAGCACAGGAAGTTGGGCCGCTTCAAGGCCCACCCCTAGTGACCTATTTCTTCTGCACAGTCCCCCTCCAGAAGGTTTCACAACCTTCCAAAACAGCACAACCAGCTGGGGACCAAGTGTTCAAACACACGAGCCTATGGGGGATATTTCACATTCAAATCAGAATGCCTTTCAGTAGAAAGGCCTACTCATTGGGAGGTGTGTGTGTGTGTGTGTGTGTGTGTGTGTGTGTGTGTGTGTGAAGCCAAACCCTTTTACCATCCATGTTTGGTTCCTTGCATGGCTCCACATGTCTACACAGTAAGACTGTGTATGGAGAAGAAGACAAAAGATTTGGGTGACTGTTCTCTCTGCAAATAGAAATCCTTGACTCTAGATGGAATCTAACTGGATCTGCCATGGGATTTCCCTAGGGGTGGTATATTTGTTGTTAAGTCTAGAAAATATCCTAGAATGAGTGGGGTTCCGAGTCTTCCTCCTCCTTCCGCAGGAGTACCCTTATCTCCTCCCACACTTCTTACCCTTCTACCACCGTATCCTAGCTCCTGCTGCATGCATTGGCTGCTTGGTGGACCTAGGAAGTCTGCCAAGTGCCCTAATCATGTCACACTCTCTCCCCAGATGCAGTGAAGGACTGCTGTGGGCGGGTGCTGGTGCACTGCCAGGCAGGCATCTCACGATCGGCCACCATCTGCCTGGCCTACCTGATGATGAAGAAGCGAGTGAGGCTGGAGGAGGCCTTCGAGTTTGTCAAACAGCGCAGGAGCATCATCTCACCCAACTTCAGCTTCATGGGGCAGCTGCTACAGTTTGAGTCCCAGGTGCTCACCACATCCTGTGCTGCAGAGGCTGCCAGCCCTTCCGGGCCTCTGCGAGAGAGGGGCAAGGCCACCGCCACTCCCACCTCGCAGTTTGTCTTCAGCTTCCCTGTGTCTGTGGGTGTACACTCGGCCCCCAGCAACCTGCCGTACCTGCACAGCCCTATCACCACGTCACCCAGCTGTTAGGGCCAGTCTCTGAACACAAGGCCAGAGTCGGCTCCCAGCAAGGGTTGTGCAAACCATGTGTGGGTAGCACGTAGAGACTGACCAGCTGGGGGCCAGATGACCAAGCTCTGTCCCCATCCATTTCTCCTTGGCCAACCACAGGGCCAGCTAGAATGGCAATAAGGACTTTGAATACATATTAAAAGCAAACAAACGAAACACTCCAACTTAGAGCAATAATGGCATCAGCGGCCAGGGAAGTCCTTGGTTTGGTTTATCTGTCAGTTTTACTTTTCAGGTAGAAATTTCTTACCTCATTTTTTTTTAAGCAGTAAGGCTTGAAGTTACGAAACCCACAGATCCTGGCAAATGTGCCCAACCAGTTTTCCTAAGTGGGGAAGGAAAGAGAAGAGAAGGCGACAAGTTTGCCAGAAGTGCCTGGTTCTGTGTGCTTGTCTTTCGTTGTATTCACAGTAGTTCTGTGTTTTCAAAGAAATCTAGGACGTGGTATTCACTTCTGATTATTCACCAAATGAACAATTATGCTTAATAATAGATATTTATTGAGTTTCTTCAGGATGCAAGTGTAGGAGTCTGGAGACAGTAGATTTGGAATGTATTTCTGTTGAGGTCACACAGTGAGCACAGAAGCTTGCGGGTGTCCCAGCAGTGAGGCAGGGTGTCTTGTTGGGTCTCTGCAGGTCAGCACAGAGACCACCTTGCACTGTTCCACTGAGAAGCATGCAGGATGATGTGCAAGGAGAAAGGAAAGGACTCCTGCTGGTCACATTTACAGCTGGCTCATGGCATGCTGACCCAAAGGAAACCTTTTTTCAATAGTGATAGATTTGGTGGTGGTTGGAGCGTTTCCTTCCAACTGGCCTAGGACCTGGATATTGTCTGTGATCAATGCCATATTCTTTAAGGTGCTCCTGGAAAATTGGGTGCAATTCAGATTTTTCTACAGTGACTCATTTGGCAAGGACCTGGAGGAATCTGGGTCACTAAAGATGAACCTAAAATGAATCCTTTCTGGTTGAAGTACCATCCATTTTCTCTCTGCATAAATTAGTTTTCAATTTGAGAGATTTACTTGAAGTATACCAACAAATTCTTGTTACTAAATCCCTGTTTGATGAAATGAATATTTCAAAAGCCCTCCTTTGAATAAAAAGATGAGTGCGTGCCACATTTCAGGGCTCCTTGAAGTCTGAAAGTACAACAGAGCTTGGGCAGGTTGGAACTGGCTGCCAACTCCTGTGATGTGCATCTTGGGTACTCGGGAGCCATTTTGGATTCTTATGGGCTAATGTCATTTGAAGGGGTCTTTCCAAAAGGAGGGATGGCTTTTGGAAGAAGGGTGTTTTCTGTAGGGAGGGCTTGTGGGGAGGGAGGAGGGAACAAGCTACATGTTACTTCATCTGTAATTATTGTGGAACACTATCGTTATGGAGTGCCAGATTAGAGGTTGCTGCGAACTTGTTAGAAATGAGAGCATGTTTTTTTTTTTTTTTAAAGCCCTTTGAGAGTCCAGATCTCATTGAACAGTCTTGATCACCCATAAATAACTTCAAGCCTCAATGTCACAATCATGTTGGAATGCTTTCTCATCCAGCATCCCAGACAGGTCTCAGTTCATTGTATTTCCTTCCATGAACTGTGAACCTGTACTGGTGTGATACGTCCTGATGGCCTGTGTCAAGCTCTGCCTTTGGGTGAGCCTAGTCTTCATTTTGTGTTTTTAGAAAAGCCAGAGGTGCCCCACTTCCCTGGGAGCTGGTGGTCCGAATGGTTGGTAGGCATGAAGGGTTATGGCTCCCAGATGGCAGACCCATTTAGAAACTGCCTAGTTGGACAGTCCCACTTTTCCTTTCATTCCTGGAAGCCGTTTCATGTTTGGTGAAGAATGAGGTTAAATGGGTTTTATAGCTGAAAAAACCATGGGTTCCAAGACTGTCAGGGTTTCTAGAGGGCAGGTAGCCTGCAGGCGAGATTCACTTTTTATACACTGAATATAAATTTGCCAAAGGTGTCCTAGTTCCCAGACTGGATCCCAACCATACAGGCAGGGGGAGGCTCAAGATTAACTCCAGATATCTTTCCCCTGCTTCCGGATTCAAACCTTCTATGACAATGTCAAATGGCTATTTATAGTCATTTTTGTACTGGATAACAGCATGAACTTTTCCTAAAACTCTAAGAAAGAATATAGGACATTGGTTTGGTTGAAAAAGGGGACTTAATTGTTGTTCTCCCTCCAGAAGCCTCTTTGGTGACTCAGAACAGCTCTAATGAAGATACTATCGGTTATTCCAAATGGTTAGTTTCAATAGGCAGCTGTCCCTCCCATGAAAGGATTTCTGACATGGTAGAAAGTCATTGGACATTTGTCACAAAGAATGAGGAATGCTCCCAAATCTCCTCTGGGATCTTGTCTTACCTGTGAGTATTTTGGGGAGAGCCCTAAAGACCAGGACTTTCCCCAGAGATATTAGACTGAAGCAAGAGCAATCAAGTAGACAGCAGCTCCCAGCTTCATTCCTTCTGAGACCGTTGTGCTTGGTTCTCAAGGCTTGGAAGCCACGAGAAGCAACTTAGAGTGGTGGTGGGAAGGAAGGACCACTGATGGTTCAATACAAGGGGAAGGGGAAAGGGCTAGAGCTGAGGAGATAGACATGAAGCCTGAAGGAGCGATAACAATGGTTCTTACTGTTCATCACATTCACCCGGGAACCTTCAAAATCCTCATGCCTAGGCGACCCTTGGCAAAAACAACAACAAAGAAAAAACCCCAGAATTTCTTGGGTGGACCTGCACATCAATATACTTCAGTGTTCTCCAGGTATTTCCATGTGAAACAAAGTTTGGGAGATAGCCTTGATCCTGAACAGTCAGGGTCTGATAGATGCCAGGTCTTGCTAACACAGTAAGACTTTGTCACTGGTCTGTCACTGTGGTCTCACTACTCACAGCTGGCTGGGGGATGAGTTTTTTGTTTTTTTTGTTTTTTTTTTTTTTTTTGGAGCTCCTGAGTGGGAACCAGCTGATCTGTGAAGCATTGTGAATGGTATCGATTTGTTTCCTTCAAACAGGATGGAAACTGTTTTGAAGTCCCCCTAAGTGTTTGTCCTTGGTTTGTCACTGTGGTCTTGCTTCTCCCGGGTGGCTGGGGGATGAGTTTTTTTTTTTTTTTTTTTTTTTTTTTTTTTGTGGAGCTCCTGAGTGGGAACCAGCTGATCTGTGAAGCATTGTGAATGGTATCGATTTGTTTCCTTCAAACAGGATGGAAACTGTTTTGAAGTCCCCCTTCCTCCAGTGCTCTGCCCTTCCTTAGAGCTCATGAATCATTAGAGAAGAGACTTCTGAAAGATAACAATGCAATACCCATAACTTGTGTAAATAGCCCCATCTTTCTGAGTGGTGTCATTTCTATATTTGATGTGCCTGTATGTTCTGTAGGATGTATATAGTTTAGAGGATTTTTGTTTGATTTTGTTTTTCAGAAAAGTCAACATGTCTGTTTTTATTTATTGCTTGAAAAATATCATTTGAAGAAAAAATAAATCCATTTTCAGCCACTTGTGCTTTTTTTTGACCCTTTCATTGAAAACTATCCTTGTGTTAAGATTTGGAAGGGAAGAGTGAAGACTGGAGAGCTTGGATCATCTGTAGCAGAAGCTAGCTACTAAAAGCAGAGAACCCTGAACACCATTCTACGGGGAAAGTGAGAGGAGACTGATTTCTCCAAGAACAGAGTGTCTTTCATCTGAGGTCCTACTCTGGGGAGCACAGAAGATAGAGAGAAGGATGGCTCAGTGGAAGAGGTTAATGTTAGCCAGACGGACAGCGCAAGCAAAGAGGGCTATTATAGGCTGTGTAAGAACTTACACAAGAAGTGGAGCCTGACTCACAGAATCTGAGGGAATGTTACTCACTTCTTGTTTTGACAGGACAATGACAATAAACAGTTATGCTTCAAGGCCAAAGTGGGAAAATAAGCTGATGGTCATGTAAGACATGCTTATATAAGGCACGCTGACCTATGAATCATTTCTATCAGATTCCACTGGTATGAATTTCTCAAACTGCAAATCAGATCGCAAAATTGCATTCTCACTGTGGCACAATTATTTAATGTCCTGGAAACACCTTCAAATAAGAGTAAGTAATTAATTACAGAATTCTGAAAACGAATAAGTAGCTTTCCCATACAGAAATGTCAGGTAAAAAAAAATAGGAAAATATCTGTTTTACAATGACAATTTCAAGGTAAAATGTCTATAATAAACCTTGGAGGAAATAGGTCAGATGTATATTCTGAACAAAGGACAGAGACGTGCTTAAGGAAAATAGGACATACTATGTTCATGGATTAAAAGACCCAGGAACAAAAAGATGATTCCTCTATAAAGTCATCTATACATTTAATAGGATCTCAATATGACAGGATTTTGGTAATAACATGGAAAAATTACTTGGATTTTATTCAGAGGAATGAATTCAGGGAAACAAATATTACTTCTGGGAAGGAATCAAGGTAGGGCTGACAGTCTGGTTTGTGCTGCGATAACAAATAAAGGAATCAGACACATCTGCTACCTTCTCATGATGATAAAAATGGGGTTAGATTACTGAACCTAGGTGTCTGACTTCTAATCCCATGAACCCTAAAGATCAGTATCTACAGAGTAGATACCATACTACATACCCCTGGTAGCAGGGGATTGGGGGAAGGTACAGACTTTGTGGCAGGAAAAAGGGCAAGAGAAACACATTAGTCTTGAGGCTGAGGGACTTCACTCAATGGAAAAAATAAAGTCCAATGGATGTCGTAGGTTCATTTAGTTGGAAGGGGTGCTCCTGTGGGAGAGACAGTAGGGAAGGAATCGGTGGACAGGCACAAGTACGGAGAAGCAGTTGGAAAGAAGGCAAAAAGTCAATTTACCGAACATTTCTGGGAAGACAGACTAGAGTTAAGTTATGATCACTAGTGTTCTGAGTTTCATAAATGCTTGTTCCCTAAAAGACTCATCCCAGCCCCAAAGCAGAATGTGTCCAGACAGAAGGTGTTCAGGCAGAATGCCCTTTCTCTTCTGGAAAAGGTCTCTCTTGGGCTGGCAAGTTGACTTAGCAGGTAAAGCACTTGCTGTGCAAGCCTGATGACCTGAGTTAGATCCCCAGAACTCACGTGATGGTGGAAGGAGTGACCAACTCTGCAAAGTTGCCCTCTGCCCTCCATATGTGCAGACACACACACACACACACACACACACAAAATTTAAAAACTTCATAAGGATGATTACTACGAAGCTATTGAACTTTACCTTGAGTGATCAACCCATCATGGTGTTCCCTTGCTGCTCATTTCCCAGTAACAGTACCCCAGTTTGACTCAGGGATATAGCCATTTCTCTATAGACTTTGAGAAAAACTGACTGCCTAAATAGAGGCCTGTGGCTTCCGCCTAAATTAAATGGCTTAAACCTACCCACTTAGCCGTAGGGAGAAGGCATCTGAGTTGAGCACCTGGGCTATACTGTACATCAGAGTGCAGCTTTTATTGAATGGTTGAGGAAGAATTCTGTGTATGTAAATGTACATAACTTCTTATCTTAAAGAAACATTTTACATTTTAGGGAAGGTTGACGTTCACAGTAAATGAGCACAAAGTCTAGAGAGTTCTCATATATTCCTCTCCCATCAGCCACCCTGAACATCAATATACCCCACCACAGTGGTACATTTGCTACAACTGACCAACCCACATTAGCACATTGTCATCACCCCCTGGCCACAGTTGACATGAGTGTCCCTCTTATTGCTGAATGGATTTTAGCAAATGTACAGTGATATCTCCCCAGAGCATCATGTAAAGTAGCTACCCTGTCCTAAAAATTGTCTGGTTTTATTCATCTTGCTGAACTTTTAAATTTTTCTCTGTATTTTTGTCTTTTTTAACACCACACTGTTGGAATCAGAATCAAACAGTATGTAGTCTTTTCAGATTTCCTTTTCAATACTAGGGACTAAATACAGGGCCTTGTGAATGCTAGGTAAATGCTCTACCACTGACCTCTATCTCCAACCTCTAAGACTGGCTTCTTTTATGAAGTAATAAGATATCCTCACATCTTTTCAGCTTGACAGCTCATTTTCTTATGTTGCTGAATAACTTTCCATAATCATACACCACAATTTACCCATTCTTCTAGGACATCTTGGTGACTTCCAGTTTGGACGATTATGAATGAAACTCACGTAAACATTAGTGAGCAGGTTTCTGTGCAGGTGTTTGTAAATCACTTGAATAAATACTAAGGAGCATAATGCTGGATTCTGTGGCATAAGTATCCCCTTTTGTAAGAAACCTACCGAACTTGTTCCAAAATTGGTTGCACCATTTTGAAGTCCCATCAGCCTTGTAACTCCTGTTGTTCCATGTCCTCACCTGCATTTGATGCCAGTGTTTCAGATTTTGATCATTCTAATAGATGTATAGTGATGTCTCAGTGTTGTTTTGACATATACTAAACACATTTTCATATTCTTATTGATCATCTGTATACCTGTGTTAGAGATTCTCTGCTCAGGTCATTTCTTTCTTTCTTTTTTTTTTTAAACTCAAGGTGTTTTCTTAAAAAATTTATTATTTTATTTTATGTGTATGAGTGTTCTGTCTGTAAGTGCACCCATCATGCAATGCCCATGGGGATCAGAAGAGGGCTTCTGGTCCCTTGGAACTGGAGTTATGGACAGTTGTTAGCTGCCATGTGGGTGCTGGGAACTGAACCCAGTCCCTCTGCAAGAGCAGCCAGTGCTCTTAACTGCTGAGTCATCTCTCCAGCCCCATGTATGTCTTCTTATTGTCTAGTTTTAAATGTTCTCTGTATACTTTGGGTAAGTCTTTCATCAGATGTATCTTTTACATTTTTTTTAAACCTGTGAGTTACCTTCTCATTCACTTGTCAATCTCTTTCACAGAAGTTTCGAATTTTAATGAAGCTTAGAGCCCACAGTGTCCCTCTAAAAGGTTCATGCATTCAAGGTTTGTGTCCCAGATGGTAGCCCTATTGGACTGTGTGGGTACTAACTTCATCAATGGGTTAACCTATTGACAAATTCATAGCTGAATGGACTTTGTCTTTTTGAGACAGGGTCTCCCTGTAGCCCCAGCTGCCCTGGAACTCACCATGTAGACCAGACTGGCCTTGAACTCACAGAGATCCGCCTGCCTCTGCCTCCTGAGTGCTGGGATTAAAGGTGTGTGCCACTACACCCGGCAAAAAGGTAACAGTTTTATCTCTTTCATGGATCATGTCTTTGGTGCTCTGAGCCATTGCCATTACAAGATAATCTTGATTTTCTCCTGTTACAGAGGCTTCAGTTCAGTGTTTTACATTTAGGTCTATAATTCACTTTGGCTTAATTTTTGTTGTTGTTTGCTTATTTTGTTTTCTGTTTTTTTTTGAGACAGGGTCTCCCTGTAGCCCCAGTTGGCCTGGAACTCATTATGTAGACCAGGCTGGCCTTGAATTCACAGAGATCTGCCTGCCTCTGCCTCCTGAGTGCTGAAATTAAAAGTGTGCGGCAGTATCCTGGACTTGACTTTGACTTAATTTTTGTGAAGTGCACAAGGTCTGTATATGTATTTGTTTTTTGGAATGTGGATGTCCAACTGATGTAGCACCATTTTTTGAAAAGGGAATATTCATTTCATTGTAGTGGCTTTTCTCTTTCATCAAAGACCAGCTGGTTAT